TCCTCGTGGTTTTCTCAATTCTTTTTGCTGTCTTGGCTCTTTTTCTCGCTCTTAAGAGCCCAGTGGATGGTCTGTATCTGCTGTTTTATGTGGCCTACTGCATTGCTTTAGCTTGCCGGCCCAAGGGATTTTTTGAAGGTGGACCCCAAGGGGTGGACGTGGCCATCTTTGTGGCCTCAGCCTTGATGACTCTAATTCACCTGTACAACGTGAAAGCAAGTGCCAGGATCCCAACAGGGCAGGGTGCTGTGAAGGCCCTCCTGGCTCGCAGCAGTTTTCTGAAGCTTCGTGAAGGGGCAGACCTTCATGCTCCCTACCTGGGGTACTCCAAGTATGCAGATGCAGAAGTACTTGGCTATGCATGCAGTGTCCTCGCTTCTTTTGCTATAACCATGACCGGGGACCCACAGGCTCCGCTTGCTACTGTTGTAATTCCATGGGTGGTGGTAGCTGGTGGGATCCTGAAGCTTCTAGGCGGCTCCGTGGCCTTTGCCCGGGGTAAAACTTTGGAGAGCAGTGCCTTCATTCTCTATGCTGTCATGTGGATCATCTGGGGCTTGACAAGATATGGTGGCCTCTATGGCACTACCAGAAGCTTCCACGCAGCGGTGGGCATCATTGCCTTCATGCTCTTCAACGGCTTCATTGTCTTCTGCACACTCTTCTTAAGCATCGCCTGGTTCTTTTACTCCTTCACTTTCTTGCTCATCGCTGTCAGCTTCTTGCTGGATGCCCTCCATGCTCTTCCAGCCGGCTACGACCTTGCTGCCACTCTCCTCTTTGGTCTGGTCAGCTTTTACTGCTTCCTGTCTGCCCTTTTCAGCAGCACCTTTGAGGGTTCCTGCTTACCAATGGGCAGGCCCATTGTGCAGCTTAGCGGTGTGGGGGGAGGAATGACCAAGTGCCTTCACCTGCCTGCCAGGAAAGCTTCCTCAGTCAAGAGAATTGCAGGTAAGGGAAGTACATAGGGCATAATGTGGGGGGTGGAGGGTAAATTCCGGGAGGTTTTGTAGCAGAATGCTGTTAAAAGGACGTTGTTCCAAGCCAGACGTGGAAAATGAGATAATCTGATGACATTTTGATGAAATGGGCCAAGAGTCATTAGAAGCTAAACACACTCGGGGGGAAATAGGGCCAATTCCTTGATAGGAGGTGGGTTTAGCAGTGAATTTGCTGCTGTCTCTCCTGTATCATATCCCCTGTCTGCTCATCCGATCTGAGACGCATCTATCCTCCAGGCTGGGGCTACCACTGAAAGCTTTGTGCAGAGAAAGCAGGGCAAATGCATGGTGCTTGCTGTCTCCACAGGGCTGAATGACTTCTGGCCCTGGTGAACGTGGCCCAGAATTCCCCTAAATGCCAGATCTCCTCTTGGATGAATGCTAGAAAATGCGCTGTCAGAGGAAATGCTTTGTTAGTTGGGAAAAGGAGATGAGAGCACCAAACTGGCTGTTTTGTCTGTGACAGCTCTTCCCTGAATTACAGCCCCTCACTTCTAGTCACTCAAGGGGTTCTGCCCTGTTCACATGCCAACAGATATCCTGAAGAACGGAGGGACTTGCGGCATCCCCACAGACACCGTGTACGTGCTTGTGGCAGCCTGCAACCGCCCTGATGCTGTGGAGAAAGCTCACCAGTAAGTATTTGTCTTGCTGCCCCAGTGAGGGCTTCCTTGGCTAGTCTAAAGAAGCCTCTAGGTCTTCCAGCTGCTACTGAGTCGAGAGCAGCAAGACACACAGCTTAACCTTCATGGGAACAACAAGGTGATGAGCCTGGGGGAGAAGATCCGAATAAGGAAAGGAGACAGTTGAGCTGCAGTTGTCTTCTAGGATACTGAAGGTTCCTGGCAGGTGATGGAGCCGGATAGCTTGGATATCACAAGGAAACCCGAAGAGGTAGCAGATGTGGCAGGGGATTATTGTGCATATGTGTAGGTACATATTGTCACAACCCAAACCCCTCTCATGTTTAACACATGCCTCTAGCTGTACTTTTCTAAGCAGCTGGGACTTCTCGTATTGGTGGGGTTTCCTCAGGACTGGGGCAATTGGGATTTCCACCCATCACTGCACAAGAACCTAAAACCTTGATTTGGAGTAGACATTCCTGATTGAGGATTAATGTCATTAATGTCCCTTCCTGTCAGGTCACCTATTGAACAGTCCTGCCTTTACTACAGACCGGTGACCTGGGGCAGAGCCTACACCTGGTCTTAACTCTAGGCTTTGCCAACACGATTTCCTTTTCAGCTTAAAAATAAATCCCCATCTTACTTCCAGGCTCATTTTTCTTCCCTCCTTTCCAGGTCCAAGCGCCAGGCTCAGGATCGCCCCATGTCGCTCTGGATTTCTAGCCTAAAGCAACTGGAACCCGCAAAGCATTTGTTCACTCCCGTCCTCTGGGACTTCATGGAGGCCGCCTGGCCGTCGCCTATTAGCTTGGTGGTTCCCAGAGGTGAGGAAATGCTGTTGTTTCCAAGCTCTCTGGCTTTGAAACTCCAACATTAAGTCGCGCATCCCCGCAACGCCACGTGCCCCATGGCAATATTTCCAGTAAGACCGTTGTGTTCGGACTGGGGTACTTCCATAATGCCATGTGACGCTTCCTCGTGCAGGTGAATGGGTGGACTTCCTGGGAATGAAGGACTCTGCTAAATACGTCGGTACCCCTCAGAGCATTGCCGTCCGCATCCCCGACTGCTCTGTCACCACACACCTCATCGACCTCGTGAGTGGCCAGAGCACGCTCATCCCAGCAGAACTGGTGACCAGACCGTGATGTTCCACTCTCTAGGGAGCAGGCTTGGTGTCAGTCACTAGCACCCAGGTCCTCTGGCCTGCTGGAGAGGAGGAGGATAGTGAGCACCTTGTCAGCCCTCTTGGCATGTCACCTCTCCTCTCTTTTTTCTCAGTGAAGTGAGGATCCTAGCGCGTTCAGACAGCTTTGGGGAGCGAAAATCGCTGAAATGAGTAACTCCCACAAGAAAAATATCATTAAGAAGGGGTGAGGTATGCAGGCAGCTGGTAGCTGATTTTATGGCAGAAAAGATGGTAAAAGGAAAGGTCAGAAAGCCGGAAAAGATGCAATTAACAGACACTGTGTGTGATTTCCTACAGGGAACACTTTGGTTGCAAGCACGGGCTTGTCTGAAGTCAGAATAACTTCAGCAGGTCCAGAATGTGGCAAGAGGGACTGTGATACCTGCATGTTCTGCTCATTGCTAGGACAGACATTGTAGGTCTTTGGCAATTCTGTTGCTGGAAAACAAAATGTTCTTTCCTGATCAACACCAGTAAACCCCAGTTCAGCAGTGTGTTAGTCACTCGTACACAGATTTGGTGGGACCGTAGTTGCCCACAAAGTGGGTATCTCTGTCTGGGTGAGTCACACTGAGTTCTCTTTAGACTCCCAGAGGTTCACGAGTGAACTTTAGAGTTCAAGTCAACTGTTCCATACAGCAAAACCTGCTCGGAGCTTTTATTCCCATTTTTCCGTCTCCAGGTTGGCCCCATTGTGGTCACGTCGGCCAACCCAACGGGAGAGGCAGACACAACACACCACAACCAAGTGTATGCCAAGCTGGGAGACAAGGTAATTTGGGCTCTGTTTCTTTTCGTTCTGGCTGGTCCCAAAAGGTGTGGGGGTGGGAGAACACCACCACTTTGTTTCCAGTAGGCAAATCAAGAGATGATATCAAGAATGTGGGAAGGCATCTCATTAAAAAAGTCTCATGGACACTTCTCGTGTTGGTGTCGTAGTGAAAGGACAGTGTAAAATGCAGAACTCGTTGGGAAACCAAAATTCTTCTGATTTATACAGTATGGTTAAGGCTTGGCAACGTGAGTTTGTTCATCTTCCAACACGTAATGATATGAGCAACAAAAAATGCTTCTTTGCTTACAAGCAATAAAACCACTGATGCCTGAATGCGCCAGGCCTCCAGCTGGCATTGAGCTGTCAGAACACAGGGGATTCCCATCAAAAGCTGAAGCTGGTCTAAAGCTGGTGCCAAAGCTCCCAACATTCCTGGCTTTTAGAACTTCCATAAGTTCTGGAAGTACAATGGTCACGGCCATTCGAATGGCTGTCTTTCATTTCACTGCGGAATCCGGGGTGTGCCACAGTTTGTGTATTTGTGGCAGCTTATGTGAGGCCCGTTTTGAACAAAAGGTGGCACAAATCTTCTGCTTCTAACTCCTCAAAAGTCTGCTTTTCTTTTGCTTTGTGGCTGGGACTCCTTGAAAGCTCCTCAGCTGATGTAAACCTGCCTTTGCTGTACTGCTGACCTACACCCCATCGAACTCTCTCTCTCTCTCTTTGTTTCTGTTAAGTTCATTCACTCCAAGTTCAGCCCTTAGTGTCAATACAGTGGGGTAGGAAGGAGCAGAGTTGCCTTTGATAATAACTACTTGCTGCTGAGAGGGGGGAGCTGCCCTTTCTTTTCCCAAGGGCCTGAGGGGAGCTTGGTGCGAACATCTGCTGCTCTTCAGGTGGATGCAGTGCTTTGTGATGGGCCTTCTCCAGAGAATATTGCCTCCACCGTTGTGGACTGCACCAAAATCGACAGCGGAAACATAGGATTCTTCAGAGTCGGCATCATCCCCAAGTCTCAGGTAAAATGAATCCTGATTTTATTCCTGCTCCCTTTCTCCATCTCCATTAGGTGGGTTTCAGACTGGGGGTTTCCTAGTTCCATCAGGAGGGGAAGAAATCGGTGATGACGTGAGGAGTTACCATAGGGTGGTGTGAAAGAGCAGAACAATAAAGCTCCCTGTTGCCTGTGTCCTGAGCCTGCCTCCGGACCCCCGTTGCACCGCTCTGTGCTGAGCACGTTGCCAGGGAGCGCGCGAGGTGAGGCTGAAAGAGCTCTGAGATCCGAGGTCACGGACCTCCACGGGGCTGGCTCTCCATTTGCACTGTCCCAGAGACCTCTGAGCGGACAGAAATGCTTAGTGGGATCCCAAGGCTGAGCCCGGCCACGTAGCTTGGAAGAGAACAGGTCTTGGAGGAGAATAGGTCGTTATTTCAATAGCTGGAGAATAAATTAGTGCTTTCCCCTAATTACTGACCCACTCACAGCTCAGTTTACCAATTTCAGGTGCTGCAGGTGCTGGAGCAGGTGCAGAAGAAACACACGTCGGTCCCTAACAGTGGCCCTGGCACCACAAAAGGCCAGGGAGAACCTCTGAATCGCGGCCGTGCCGTGCGCAACGGGGTGGGCACGGCTGCCTCGGCAGAGACGGCGCCGGTGCAGCCCCCCGCCGGCGGCTCCGAGGGTCACACTCACTTCTGACTCCCAGCAGGTCAAGCAGTTACGTGCTCGCTCGGGAATTGTTTGCTGGAAAATGACATACAGGTCAAACTGGGGAATGGGAGAGGTTTCCCTGCTGCAGGGGTGACTCAGTCCTCGTCCTATGGATACCGCGAAAATATCCCAGTGCAGAGCTGACTTACAAACCGGTTGCCCAGAAGTAAAATTTTCACTGGTGGAGACAGCCAGCTTTCACTGCAGGTCAGACGTGACCAAAGAAGGTGTTATACTGGTGACAGACTGGCCTGGAGTAGCAGAGCTTTATTCCCTTCACTGGGAGGTACTGCCTTCGGTTTGGGGTGCAGAGCGACGTGAAGCGTTTCAGAATTGCGTGTCGGGGGGAAAACACTGCGTGAAACTTGAAGGGGGAGAGGGAGAAGGGCAGATGTGGTCGGGTGCTGTGCTGGTGAATGCAGGGGGCTGGCTAAAACAGGTGGGGCAAAGCACGGCCTGGGGAGCTGGGGCCGTCTTCTGGCATGTCTTCCCAAAACGGAGGTCACAGAGCCCGACACTAAAAAGAAACGCCGTTATCTGAGATGCCGTTTTCTGTGTTTCACAATTTCAGCGGGAGGGTGGAATTACCGTTTTGATGACTCCAATAATACCTCCTTAGAAGTGCTGGAGCGTTGTGGAGGATCCCCCATTTCCCAAGGTATCTTAGGCAGAGTACGAATTCCAGGGGAATCCTCTGCGCTGGGCTGGAGGGTGCTGGAAGCTGGAGCTGGTCTCTTCCCTTGTCGCATCACTGTGTGCATCTCACGGTACGTCTCCTCCAGAGCACAGATCTAGTGCAGAGCGGTAGCTGCGGACCAGGAGGAGGTGAAAAGGGGTTTCAAACCAACACGAGGGTTTTTCCTTGGCAAAGGCAGCACGGTGGTGCAGGCAGGGGCTTGTTTAGCCTCTGAAAACTCTTGGTCTTCTTCCTGCCTGACTCAGGTGCAAGGTGCTGATCAAACCCCAGCTGAAACCAGTGAATTGATTCATTGAGTTCACCTGAAGTTCTGCTGGAACTTAAGCATAAATGCTGTGCAGCCAGAGGAGCTCAGCCTCTATGAACTACGGCAAAACCAGGTCTTCTCAGCTTGTCCTGACAGAACTGGCTCTCTGCCTGCAGAGAAAGAAAATGCCAGATGATTGAGTTTGTTAAATCCTTTTGCTGGTCTACTTACTGTATCTCTTTGGAATTTATTAAAACTGATCTTTAGAAAGCAATAAAATATTTTCAATAAACAGTCATCTGTCACGCAGGACGGGGCTGTCAGCTGCGGCAAGTGCCTGGCGGGTCAAAGGGTGGTGGATTTCAGCGTGTCGGGGTTCCTGGCCGCGCACGAAGGACCTTACGAGGGAATCAAATTGCATCCCTTCCCAGGGTGGGGGAGAGCGGGGGGAAAGAGAAGACAACGCTGAAGATCAACCGCCTGGTGCCAGCTCCCTTGCTGAGCGGTGCTAATGAGCCCGTAAACACCCGTGCTGAATGCTGCCCCTTAACTCAGTGAAAAAAAAAACACCCATAAACACTGAAATCTGAGGGAGTGCGGTAAGAGGCGTTAATCTGGAGAGGTGCTGAAGCGTCACAAAGCCTTTTGCTGTGGGAAAACAGCCCTGGCTTGAATCCACCAGGGATTTGTGCTGCAAATAATGACGTATTTTAGCGTGCTGCCAGTTAAAAGTGGTTTAAAAAGCTGGATTCTCCACAAGATGCCTCGCCTGGGTCCGTTTTTCCTCTCTCGCTCTCTCTCCCTCCATGGTGGTTGTTTCTCACTCACAGAAAGTTTTGATCGCAGTGTCAGGACACTGGGAGAACATGGGGGGCGGGAGGGGATGGGGGGACGGGACCGTTTCTCACTTTGCTGAGCGAGGTGGAAGATGGGGAGATATTTCATGTGAGCTCAGCCCTTAGTTCACCCCGCCTGCAGCTCTCCCGTGTGCAAGCAAACCGAAAAGAAAGAGTTTAGGGAGGAGGAGATTTAAATGGGATGTTTGAGTTTAATCAAGGCGAAAAAAAAAGTCTAATAATTCCAGAGTTTTCCCAGCATTCAAGGTGAAAAAAAACCCCACTTTTAAAGAGAAGTGGAGAGAGAGGGGAAGTTTTAAGTGTTTTAAGTGGCAAATCCAAAACACTTCAGTATGAAGCTATTGAGACAAACATTTGAGCTTCTTTCAGTGTATCTTCTGAACGATCACGGATCAAATCTGGCTTGAGGTATTGACAAGAATTTATTGAGTATTTTCACCACTCTAAAAATTCAGGTTTTTGTCAAAAATGGTTGCCCAGCCCTCTTCAGACGAGACTCTTATTGAGCCCTTCTGGTGCTGTTCCGCTCCTGTCCTGCCTAACGGGAAGGAGTTGCTCCATTGCAGTGTACCTCATGAGAGGGACAGAAGGGGACTTGGGGTCCTCACACCTCCATCACTGGAGGAGTTTGAAGCGACTGAGGAAAATCAGCAAATTCTGAGAAAGGCCAATCTTGGTTGTATTATCAACGACTCGGAGGCCTTTAGGCCCGAAATGTCACCTGGGGAGGCAAAATAATCTCATGAATGGGCCTCTTTGTGAAATAGCCAACACTTTAATCCCACTGGGGTTGGAAACAACCCAGGGAGGAGGGCTGACCCACCTTGATTTTGCCCTTTGTGGAGTCCAGACATCCGTGTCAATGGAAAGAAAAAGAAAAAAAAAAAAAGAATGGAAAATAAAGAAGTGTATTTTCCAGTGGCAGGAAAAAACCAGCTCACCCTTCTGAGAATAGAGCTGTGCCATAGGAACAGGAACTGACTCAACGGCGTCTTCGAGGATGCCTGTTGGTATAGTGGGTGGACCTGATACTGGAGTGGGCAGGGTTCGGAGAGGAAGGGCGGCATCACAACCGCCTCCTGAGAGAAACCAGCCGGGCAGAAGCCTTGAGACGTGGGCAGAGTCACGGATGTCCCCTGACCACCTCCAGCTTAAAGAAACACCAGGAACTGGGAGCTCTGCAGGGGCAGAGCCCTCTCCTCTTTGGCTCCTGCTCCTGAAGTCTGGAAGTCGAAGTCTGTAGCTTGGGATGGGACACGAGGTGGAGGGAAAGGCGGAAGCAAAGTCCTGCTTAATTGGGTGATCATCAGTCAAAGCAAAACCCTTTGATCTTGGCACTGTTGAGGGCACAGCACCTGAAAACACAGCCCGCGGTGATTTTACGTCATACTCACCTTGCTGCATTCTTCCTGGTACCCCTCCTGTAACATCAAGGGCCTGGGGTTGTTACTACAAAATGACCAGACCATCTGGTTTGCCGCTTTTTGAGGAAATACCGAGAACAACAAAGAAACAACATATTTCAAAATCCCGGGCTGGATCTTCGGCTGCTCCACAAAACACAGCTTGGATTTACGTACCCGATAGCTGAGTTGTGGTGCCCAGCCAAGAGCCGGCCAACCTCTCATGGTCTAGAGCCACCTGGGAGTCCCCAGCGTCGGTGCCAGCCGTGATCCTGAATGTACAGAGCAGCTCTCAGCTGAGGCTTGGAATAAGTCAGGACAGAGGTAGCTGGGTGACAGTAGCCGGGCGCTTAACCACAGCAGAAAACAACTGTTCAAGTTGTCTTTTGCTGCGTGTCTCCCTCGTGGTCACTCACGGCGCACCCGAAGTTGTCAGGGGTGGAACAGCAGTGGGGAATTTCTCTACCTCATGCATCAAATCGCTTGTGTAAAAAATCTTGGGTGGGGGAAAAGCAGCAGGAGTTGAGCTTCTGGAGTCGTAACAAGAATTAACGGGATTAACTGCCAGTGGTGACTCCATCCTACCCTTCCTTTCTACCCCAACTAGAAAAGCATCTGATGGCTCCAAGGCTTCCGTCTCCTCTTTGTGCACGGCACTGTCACAGCTGGGGCTGGGGAAGGAAAGGCTCTGTGGTAGCGGCGCCTTTGGGCAGCGACCGGTGGGTTTATGAGGTGACTGTATTGCCCTGCTCCACGTCCACGGTTGCTGGCACCTCACTGCCAGTTAATAACCGACCACGTGTGCGAGGGCTTGTGTCCAGCTCGGCGCCTTCGTGGTGTGTGTCTGATGGAGGCCATCCTGCACCTCCAGCTCTGTCGGTGGAGGTGCCTAACCCCGCAGTTCTCCGTTTCCATCCAGCATGCACAAAGGCAACCAGGCACAGGATCGAGCCCTCCGCACTGGTTCCTGTCTCACTGCTCAAGGGATCCCACAGCAGCACTGCTGTGGGCCCCCAACTTCTCAGTCCCGTGGCCTGGATGGATGAAGATAGGCAGAAAGCGCTGCGGAGCAGCCAGTGCAAGGGGTCATGCTGGGGGGCTGGATGGGGAGGTCCGTCCTGCACATCCAGTTCAGCGCTGCCTCTATTTTTAGCAGCTGTAATAAATACCTCAGCTGAAAAGCCCGCGTTCAAAGGCTCAGAAGTGTTAGTTCTTGTGAGAGTCACCTTTTCCTTCCTTCCTGGAAAACACAAAGAGATCTTACTTGTGTTATTATCTCTTCCTAAATACCAAAAAAGCAGGAATTTCAACAAATTCTTCTGCTCTGGCCATGTCAGGGTTCAGACAGTTATCCTGAGATAGATATATCTGTCTCAGCAGCTGTGGAACAGAGACGCCGCCGTCCCTTCAGGACCAGCCGTGCCCAGGCGCCTTTGAGGAACCTCACGTTCTCCACGTCCTGCTGCAGAAGCAGAAAACCCTTCGACCATCTCGCAGGGCTTGGCTCTCCAAGGAGCAGGGGTGGTAGGATCACATCCCAAATTTAGAGACGTTCTCTCCCTGAGCACCTCCATTCTCGTATGATCCACCCAGCAGGAAGTAACGTGGGCCTTTCGTAGTGAGGTTGTTCGTTGCCGAGTTTCGGTAAACACAACATCGATTACCGGAGGTGCTACAACAACCTTTCTCCTTTGACCTGACAGCTGGTTTGCACCAAACAGTTGCTCTTTTATCTGCTGAATTGATGATGGATGCATATAACCAGTTTGTCACTGTTACGGGTT